GAGCCTATAGTTTTGCTTGGCAACCTTTTGAAGAAAAGGAAAACTGAATTCGAACCACCCTGAAAAAGGTTGACAAAAGGCAGATGAGCTTCTTATAAGAACCAATGGTCAACATAGAGACTGGAGATGGAAAACACCTATTAAAAAAAAAAAAATCTGTGATTGTAGCATCATCTGATATATGGTACACAGTGCAATGGTGCAGAACAGGGTGTTATGACAGAGAGAGTGTGCATTGCAGACTACTAATTTAAACCCTTCACTTTTGTAGGTTGTTCAGTAAAAGCATAGAATTTACTGAACCTTCAGTCATTTTCAACAGGAGAATCATCCATATACTGATATGCATGTACGAGTATACAATTGTTCCCCTTAACTGTTGAGAATATGTTCCAATACACCATACAGATTTTTAAAACCAGATGTTTCAAACCATATATCTTCTTTTTTTCTCTCTCTCATATATTATATATATATATATATATATATATATATCTTGGCTGAATTATCCACAAAGAGGGTTCCAGAACATAAATAATTTCAAAAGAAGTAAAAACAATAGCACCTGTCACAAAACTAAAACTAAAAACATCTGCAAAGACGAGAACATTTGCCTGAAATAAAAGATCAGATGGTTGAGTATATTAGCCTTTTCAACCTCTTTCTATATACCTGCAAATCTTAGGTATTCTAAGCATCATTTATTTTTAATAATTTCATCCCAAGAAAGGCAATAAAGCCACTAGGATGTAAGAGGTTACTGAGTATTAGAGAATATGAGAAAAACTACTAATATTAAAAACTAGTGAAAATATCACATCTCAAGCAAACATTTACATACTTGTTTGCATATTAATTTCTCTGTATCTATAAATAGAATACCCGCTCGGCCCGGTGGCTAGGATCAAAGTGTAGTATCTGCGCAGAGCTGCCGGTTTGGTGTGTCTGTCGAACTCTCTGCTTGCAGAGAGGATTTGGACGAAGCTCCGCCGAGGGGTAGGGTTTCGTTGGAGGAGGTTGATTTGAACTGGCCCGCCTCGGCAGGTTTGGATGGTTATTTATTTTTGGCTGGGCCTACGGGCTCAGAGATACCCACATTAAAAAGGCCTTGTGCCACATTCGATCCCCGTGGGTGGATTGATAAATACCATATTAATTTCTCTGGCTAGCATTAATTATTCCAAGCAAAAACAAAATCTCTTATTGCTTTTTATCAAATTATTACTCATTAGGTACTCTGGCTGGAGAGCAAGAGTCAGTCCAAAAAAGACACTGTAGTGACTCTGTGGCAGACACTCTCAGAGCCAATGAGATATATCTCGTCCAGGCCACTTGCCTTGCTGCTGACAGATGACCATGTCTCCCTGCGATGCCTAACAGCACAAGTGGAAGGAAAAACTAAAACTAAACCAATAATACAACTAGTATATGAAACAAAAGTGTTTAAAACTCAAATCTAACCCTATAGCTTTCATCCTTTATTTGAATGAATGCTATACAGTTAGATTTAAGCTTCAGTCACTAGATCTTTGTAGCCTAATCTGAAAGGCAGCTGTCCTAGACAAGCAAGCTTCCAGAAAAGAGATACAGGTTCAAATCTTACCAGAGGCTTATTCTTTATTTCTGACCTCCACTACTTATGAATGACTGTAGATATTATCTATATAAGTCATAAGAAATTCTCAGCTAAACCTTTGTCTATGATTAAGTCATCACTTTTCTTTCATCTTTCTTTTACTTTTTATTGCCATTCTTAGACCATTGTTATAAGCAACAATTGCAGAAGATTAACCTAAGAGTTGCAATAAAAAGCAACTGAAATCAAGATAAAAAATATTTTACATGCCATGTCTCTTTAGAACATGTGCGATAATAGCTCTCCACTACTTCCTAAATCTTGTTGCTTTAATTAACTTATACCTGTTTGTCGGTGTTTTGCTATCCATTCACTCAAACTTGTTAAGTAAAGCTCTTGTTGTGACCTTCTGCTTCTCTTGCCTTTATGCCTTGTGAGTGTTAAATTCTCCAGATCCTCTTTTCTCCTTGTGTCACAGAAAATTTCAGCAATTTCTTTCTGATTGTTAAGTATCAGTTTCTTTGTCATCATTATTTATCTTGAAATTTTTGTTACTTTTCAAGCTATAGTTTCTCAATGAAATACTAGTCAAAAATGTATTCTATAAAACGCAAAGTTAAAACTTAACTGAATTTTGATGAGTTGAGCATGCAAGAGAATCAAACGAGAAATAGAACAAGAACAGTGTGGGTTTGGACACTGGAACAAGAAATGCGATATTTATCCTCAGAAAAATATCAAAAAGAGCAATACAAATGCAGAAGGAGGTGTACTTGTGTTTTATAGATTTTGCAAAAGCTTTTGATAAAGTATGTCACAAAGAACTGCTGGAATTGCGAGGTAACCTTGATGTATCTGGGAAGGATATTAGAATAATCCAAAACCAATATTGACAGTAAACCACCTGCATACAGGTAGAAAATCAGCTCAGCAGATATACAAAGATACAACAGGGGTGTAAGACAAGGATGTGTCGTCTCACCAGACTTATTCAACCTATACAGTTAGGCAGAGAGAATTAGAAGTCCTACCATGATTCATTATTAGCTGCCAGAATCTTAACATAAGATATGCAGATGATACAGTGTTAATAGCAGACATGGAAAGGAAACTACAAGAACACGGACAAGAACTCGATGTAATGCATGGTTGTTAACAAAAGGGACAGCCCAACATGCTAATTACAAAATGGAGATACCAGAATCAAACAAGTACAAAAATTTAAATATCTGGGAAGTGTTTTAACAGTGGATGGAAAGTGTGACACTAAAATCCAAAAGGTGCATTGGGATGGTGAAAAATGCTTTTCAAAAGCTAAGCAAGTATTAATAAACAGGAAAATTTCATTAGAAACAAAAGAAACAAGTACTGAACTACTATGTAATATCAGTCTTCCTATATAGCAGTGAATGCTGGATGGTGAAAAAAGGGTTTGAAGCAACAGTGGTACTACAGAAGGATGCTGAGATTCATATGGACCAAACATATGAGCAACAATGAAGTTTTAGAGAAAATGGAAACAAAAAAGATGCTTATACTTAACATTAGAAAGAGTTGAAATATATAGGCCACATAATGAGGAAAGGGGGCATGGAAAATTTGAAACTCACAAGACAGATTGACGGTAAAATAGACAGAGGAAAACCATGCATAACCTCCTTGGCAAGCATGAGCAAATGGATGCTGGAGCAAGGTTTAGAAGAGATAACAAAAATGGAAAATTTAAGTGCTACAAAGGACAGGAAATCAGAGAACTGTGATCATTTGCATCCTGGAGGAACATGGCATATTGAAGACATTCTACACTACAAATAAAAAGTTAAGGAATCCCCCATCAATATTGGAAAGAGCAATAACTTGACTTGTGTTTATTTTTTCTGAAAAATTGTCTTAATTGAAAGATTTTATTTCACCAAAAAGGGCTTCAGTGTTGCAAAAAAGCAGAATAAAAAGAATTGTCAAGAATTAGTATCTGACAACGGCTCCTTTAAGAAATTCAGAGATGATTACAAATTCTTTTTCTATACAGATACACTCCAGAATCATTCCTATATCCAGAATGTTATTAGGAGGGGGGGTGAAGTGTTTGAGAACTAAACAGTAGACAAAATTTGTCTATTATGATACTAGTAAGTTGAGCTCTATCATTTGTCTAAAATCATTTCTGCCATTAATTTTCAAAATAAATCAGAAAATTTAATTTTGTATTAACCATACTCATACCCCTGAAACATTAGCTTCCTGAAGAGTGAACTGAACGATTACAAAAAGCTTTGTTTTTGAGACTCTCTAGAGTTGAGGTGCTGGATATAACATCAATCAGCTAAATGACAATATTTGTATTAATCCTGTAAGTGTTATATACAGGAAACCTCTGTAGGTCTTATTCTAGAGAATAAGTACAAACACATGCACACAATATATATATATATATATATATATATATATAGAAAATTTTGCATTTCAAATAAAACTTTTACAGTAGGATAGGTTTGAAAAAAAACAAAAAAAAAACAAACAGAAAAATAGAATCAGAAATTTGAATTATCCATCCCCACCAGCACTTCATTTTCATTTTGTGGTACCCTGCTCAATTTTAACATTTGAAACCTAATTAATTCTATTCCTATCAGAATTTCCAAGTCATTTTTTTTATTTTCTCTCTTATCATCTGATTCAGAAGAGGTACTGTTTAATATCTGTCTATATTTCTGAGATGAGATATTATGTACATTATTCAGACTATTGTCTTCATCTTTGTCGCCATATTTATTACGTTTCAGCCATTGTAAACATGGCACGTGAAACTAGAACAGTCAACCCCAATGAGTGAAATAAAGGTTCAGTTCGACATTCCAATCATCTGAAGAAGGCCAGAGCATACAATGGCCAAAACGTTGTAATAAATATGGCGACAAAGATGAAGACAATAGTCCGAATAATGTAAATAAGGTACTGTTTAAATATAACAAAAAAAAAAATAACTCATATTTTTTTTTAAATCAACTTTTCTCGATTTCAAACCAGATGCATTACATTAGAAAGAAATCTATGAACATACACTTCAGGGTTGAATTGAGAGGGTTTCATTTCTTCCAACTGCTTCATGGTCATCATCAGATGAGGAGAATAAGATACTAGTAAGAGATTTTTATTTTAGTCTGATGAAAAATATTTCATAGGTTACTATTTGAAATTCATGGATGTCTATTGAATTTTAAGAGTTTCATTCAACATCAGGAAACGCTGATTAAAAAACAAAAAGGCAACTTGACTGCTATTGTCTTTTACATGTTCCTGATATTGAGCACTCTTTGCTGAAAGAAATAATTTCATATAAATGATAAATGGACTGATCCTTCAAAGAAGACAGATTGAAAATTCATAATCAAAATTTCCCTAAGTAACCCAGAATTGCTTGGAATTAGAACTCAAACCAAGATAGATAGATAGATAGACAGATAGATAGATATGCAAGTAGTGTAATCACTACTGTTTTGAAAATTAGAATAGACAGGCCTAGTTCAAATTCTGACCGATTCTGTTTTTGTTCATGTCCTGCTGATAACCTTGGAATGGCAGTAATCCATTTTATTCCAATTATGGTTTTAATAGTAAGGCAAGTTAGGTTCTCTTGTCTTCAATAGCAACCAGTCTAGGTGAATGAAATCCCTGAAATGAAACAATGTCTTTCTGGAAAGGATCACCCTTAAGTATATTTCTCTTATAAGTTCTTATGAAAAGTGTGGCTTGTTCTACACAAGCCTTCATCGCTATAATCAAATCATCTGCATGGGTAGTCTGGTGGTTTATATATGTATATAAATAAAAAGAAAGAACAGTAAGATATATAATCCGGTGTTCTTATAGATATTTTTATTTTTACGAAATAGTGCTCGATGTAAATTTACAGAGCATTGATATTATAAATTAATTGATTTAAAATATTTTTTTTTTCGCTACACAGTTCTAACCATGTTTCAAAAATGGAAGCTAAAAGCCCCGAATTTAATTTTGTAATTAAATTAAAGACATTAATTCCATTTCATCCTCAAGCGAATTTTGGAGTAACTTTTAAAATTACTGGGTTTTAAATACACAGCTAAAACAAAATTCATGTTTCAAGGTTACAGATAAATCTGTTTTTTGCTATACAGGGTGTCTGGGTGTTCAATATGTCTATATTTTAATGTATCAGTTATTGCTACGTTTTGGTAGTGGGTAGGGATGTATTTTCAATGAAAAATATATATATATATTTTAAATAAAAACAGACAACTTTAAGGTTCCATGTAATAAATTATTTCAACACAGCCCTTTTAAAGGACTGCAGATCATCAGACTTTACTTCCAAATAAAAAATTTTATCCTCCTTGGGTTTACCCATACAGATTACCTAGTTTTTCATAAACTATATATATATATATATATATATATCTGCTGCCTAAATATATGCTGATCTGACCGTGAACATTTTCCCAGGACAAAAACTGTTACCTGAAACCATGTGAAAACCAACAGGATCCGAGCATTGGAATACACATTATCTATCTTGGCATTTAATAATAAAAACAAAAACACAAGCAGTGAAAGTATCACATCTCAAGCAAACGTATACATTCTATTTGTATATTCATTTCTCTGGCTAGCATTAATTATTCCATGTAAAAACAAAATTACTAAAGTATTGCACTTTTAAATATGGGTTTGGTAGAGTGAAAATGTTATTCAGATAAAAATCAGATGCCAAAGTTGGCTGAAACTGAGAACTTGCTATCTGGCTTACAGAAATTACCATATATGGTTGTCCAGAATTTTACATCTATTTCAAAAATGTCTGAATAATGTTTTTATTATGATCTCTGTCCTATAACTTTAGGAATGTTTAATATATGAAATGTACATAAAAATGTAACAATTGTTAATGGACAGAAATGGTAGGGGGTTTTTTTTTGGTTTTTTTTTACACTATGTTAAGTCAGTTTATATTTACAGATTTTTTTGTTAATTTTTTTTTTTTTTTAAAGAAACATTAATTATCCTTAAGGTTCAAGGATTCTGGTTGAATTAAACTTAGGCTTCTTGAAAATATGAATTCTGTAATTAGCAGTTAAAAGACATGGAGTTATTTCCCTTAGTTTCTTTTGGTCAGTTTCCACTTAATTAAAAATTGCTCTGAAACCAGTGGTCCAATCGGACTGGAAATTACTTTATACTTCAAGTAACAGTATTTTGTTAATATAAATTGTGCTATGATGTACCTTTTTTTTCTATAAGGCAGTAATAACACAAAGATGCAGAAATTACATTATCATTATCAGATGTGCATCAAATGAAGTAATTCCTTAAGAAGGAGGATAAGCACAAGAGGAAATAATATCTTGGATGACTGTTTCCTCTTGGCACTAAATGTTTTCAGTTCTAATGATTTAGAGAACACTATACTATTGCAAGCTATGATGTACACACACACATATATATATATATATATATATATATATATATATATATATATATATGGTGGATAAAAAATATGAGCTCAACAGGAACCAACAACTTGATGATACAAGTGCATCTTGACTAAAAGTCAGGAAAAAGGAGACATTGTGTTTTGAATACAGTAAGAGAGAGGACACAAAATAAAATTAATTGGTAGCATGCTACCCCAAAATAAGTAAAACAGGTTATTCAAAAAAACTAAAAGGTAAGAGAGAAGGACAAGGGCAAGGGAAAAGGTAGGGGTGTGAGAGAATGAGGAGAGAGCAAAGAAATTCAGGGTGATAGGGATGGTGGCAAAGACAAAGGTGGGCTGAGAGAGAGAAATAGAAGACTGGAGGCAAAGACAAAGAGAGAAAGAGAAAGAGATAAAAGAGTGGAGGCAAAGACAAAGATGGCCTGAGATAGAAGAGTGGAGGCAAAGACAAAGATGGCCTGAGATAGAAGAGTGGAGGCAAAGACAAAAGATGGCCTGAGATAGAAGAGTGGAGGCAAAGACAAAGATGGCCTGAGATAGAAGAGTGGAGGCAAAGACAAAGATGGCCTGAGATAGAAGAGTGGAGGCAAAGACAAAGATGGCCTGAGATAGAAGAGTGGAGGCAAAGACAAAGATGGCCTGAGATAGAAGAGTGGAGGCAAAGACAAAGATGGCCTGAGAGATAGAAGAGTGGAGTGGAGGCAAAGACAAAGATGGCCTGAGAAAGAGAGAGAGAGATAGAAGAGTGGAGGCAAAGACAAAGATGGCCTGAGAAAGAGAGAGTGAGATAGAAGAGTGGAGGCAAAGACAAAGATGGCCTGAGAAAGAGAGAGAGAGATAGAAGAAGAGTGGAGGCAAAGACAAAGATGGCCTGAGAAAGAGAGAGAGAGAGATAGAAGAGTGGAGGCAAAGACAAAGATGGCCTGAGATAGAAAAGGCAAAGACAAAGATGGCCTGAGATAGAAGAGTGGAGGCAAAGACAAAGATGGCCTGAGATAGAAGAGTGGAGGCAAAGACAAAGATGGCCTGAGATAGAAGAGTGGAGGCAAAGACAAAGATGGCCTGTGAGATAGAAGAGTGGAGGCAAAGACAAAGATGGCCTGAGAAGAGAGAGAGAGAGAAGAGTGGAGGCAAAGACAAAGATGGCCTGAGAAAGAGAGAGATAGAAGAGTGGAGGCAAAGACAAACATGGCCTGAGAAAGAGAGAGAGAGATAGAAGAGTGGAGGCAAAAGACAAAGATGGCCTGAGAAAGAGAGAGAGAGAGAGAGAGAAGAGTGGAGGCAAAGACAAAGATGGCCTGAGAAAGAGAGAGTGAGATAGAAGAGTGGAGGCAAAGACAAAGATGGCCTGAGAGAAAGTGGAGGAAAGACAAAGATGGCCCTGAGATAGAAGAGTGGAGGCAAAGACAAAGATGGCCTGAGAAAAAGAGAGAGAGATAGAAGAGTGGAGGCAAAGACAAAGATGGCCTGAGATAGAAGAGTGGAGGCAAAGACAAAGATGGCCTGAGATAGAGAAGAGTGGAGGCAAAGACAAAGACAAGATGGCCTGAAAAAGAGAGAGAGAGAGAAGAGTGGAGGCAAAGACAAAGATGGCCTGAGAAAGAGAGAGTGAGATAGAAGAGTGGAGGCAAAGACAAAGATGGCCTGAGAAAGAGAGAGTGAGATAGAAGAGTGGAGGCAAAGACAAAGATGGCCTGAGAAAGAGAGAGTGAGATAGAAGAGTGGAGGCAAAGACAAACATGGCCTGAGAAAGAGAGAGAGTGAGATAGAAGAGTGGAGGCAAAGACAAAGATGGCCTGAGAAAGAGAGAGTGAGATAGAAGAGTGGCGGCAAAGACAAAGATGGCCTGAGAAAGAGAGAGTGAGATAGAAGAGTGGAGGCAAAGACAATGATGGCCTGAGAAAGAGAGAGAGAGAGAGAGATAGAAGAGTGGAGGCAAAGACAAAGATGGCCTGAGAAAGAGAGAGTGAGATAGAAGAGTGGAGGCAAAGACAAAGATGGCCTGAGATAGAAGAGTGGAGGCAAAGACAAAGATGGCCTGAGATAGAAGAGTGGAGGCAAAGACAAAGATGGCCTGAGAAAGAGAGAGTGAGATAGAAGAGTGGAGGCAAAGACAAAGATGGCCTGAGATAGAAGAGTGGAGGCAAAGACAAAGATGGCCTAAGATAGAAGAGTGGAGGCAAAGACAAAGATGGCCTGAGAAAAGAGAGAGAGAGAGAGAGAGAGAGATAGAAGAGTGGAGGCAAAGACAAAAGATGGCCTGAGAAAGAGAGAGTGAGATAGAAGTGTGGAGGCAAAGACAAAGATGGCCTGAGATAGAAGAGTGGAGGCAAAGACAAAGATGGCCTGAGAAAGAGAGAGTGAGATAGAAGAGTGGGAGGCAAAAGACAAAGATGGCCTGAGATAGAAGAGTGGAGGCAAAGACAAAAGATGGCCTGAGAAAGAAGAGTGGAGGCAAAGACAAAATGGGCCTGAGAAAGAGAGAGTGAGATAGAAGAGTGGAGGCAAAGACAAAGATGGCCTGAGATAGAAGAGTGGAGGCAAAGACAAAGATGGCCTGAGATAGAAGAGTGGAGGCAAAGACAAAGATGGCCTGAGAAAGAGAGAGAGAGATAGAAGAGTGGAGGCAAAGACAAAGATGGCCTGAGAAAGAGAGAGTGAGATAGAAGAGTGGAGGCAAAGACAAAGATGGCCTGAGAAAGAGAGAGTGAGATAGAAGAGTGGAGGCAAAGACAAAGATGGCCTGAGATAGAAGAGTGGAGGCAAAGACAAAGATGGCCTGAGAAAGAGAGAGTGAGATAGAAGAGTGGAGGCAAAGACAAAGATGGCCTGAGAGAGAGAGAGAGATATAGAAGAGTGGAGGCAAAGACAAAGATGGCCTGAGAAAGAGAGAGTGAGATAGAAGTGTGGAGGCAAAGACAAAGATGGCCTGAGAAAGAGAGAGAGAGAGAGAGATAGAAGAGTGGAGGCAAAGACAAAGATGGCCTGAGAAAGAGAGAGAGAGAGAGAGATAGAAGAGTGGAGGCAAAGACAAAGATGGCCTGAGAAAGAGAGAGTGAGATAGAAGAGTGGAGGCAAAGACAAAGATGGCCTGAGAAAGAGAGAGGAGATAGAAGAGTGGAGGCAAAAAGACAAAGATGGCCTGAGAGAGAGAGAGATATAGAAGAGTGGAGGCAAAGACAAAGATGGCCTGAGAAAGAGAGAGAGATAGAAGTGTGGAGGCAAAGACAAAGATGGCCTGAGAAAGAGAGAGTGAGATAGAAGAGTGGAGGCAAGACAAAGATGGCCTGAAAGAGAGAGAGAGATAGAAGAGTGGAGGCAAAACAATGATGGCCTGAGAAAGAGAGAGTGAGATAGAAGAGTGGCGGCAAAGACAAAGATGGCCTGAGAAAGAGAGAGTGAGATAGAAGAGTGGAGGCAAAGACAAAGATGGCCTGAGAAAGAGAGAGTGAGATAGAAGAGTGGAGGCAATGACAAAGATGGCCTGAGAAAGAGAGAGAGAGAGATAGAAGAGTGGAAGCAATGACAAAGATGGCCTGAGAGAGAAGAGTGGAGGGAAAGGCAAAGGTGGGCTGAGTGAGATAGAAGAGTGGAGGCAAAGATGGAGTGAGAGATCAAGGACAGAGGCAAAGATAGGGGGTGAGATAAGTAGGAAGGCAGTTGAGGGAGGTGCAAAGGCAATAGTGGTGGTAAGACAGTTCAGTAACAGGGGCAAAGGTAATTGTGGGCATGAGAAAATGAGCAGGGGGCAAAGATGAATTTGAGAATGAGAGGAAATGAGGAGAGACCAAAGAAGGTGAGATGAAACAGAAAAAAGAAGGGGGCAGAAGACAAAGGTGGGAGTCTAGAGAATAAGGGGGGGGAAGGTGGGAGTGAGAGTGAACTAGGGTGAGTCAAAGCAAAGGTGGGTTTGATAAAGAAAGAGGTGTATAGGCAGAATCAGGAGTTAAGAGGTCATAGGCAGATGTGGGAGTGATAGAGAATGAAGTGTGGGTGGAGATAAAGCAACATAGTGAGAGAACAAAGTTGGGGGTGCCAGAGCAAAATGTGGGATGAGAGAGAATGAAGGCAAAGGTAGGAGTGAGGGGGACAAAGGGGGGGTGGCAAATGGCAACTTAAAGAGAGAACTATTGAGAGGAAGATGACAACATAATTTGGTTGCTATTTATGACACATGAACTAAGTTAATAGAACAATGACCATTTGCAAGAAAAATAAGTGTTAATTCCACTTCTTGTTTCAACTCTTATCTTTCTTTTCACCATATTGAAAGCAAGAAGGGAAAGAATTGAAGCAAATAACATAAATAGTAGCCTAGAAAATGGGGGTGGAATGCAACTACAAAGCAGCAATTCATTTCCCTCAAAATTACTACCTTCGACTGAATATCAGAAAGAACTGATCATATGTCCAGGAAAATGCCTATCTTTGTAGGAGAAAATTGGTCAGAAGCCTTCTGTCTTATCTTTCTCTTGCTTTTCACAGACAAACCATTTAGAAAATGAATTAGACTGTATGAAGAATATGACTTTTCTCTTGGTCACTGTGACATCATTCAAAAGGAAAAGTGGGGGGGGAGACAACGACGAGAATTGGTCTTCAGTTTTCAATAAAAGTTGATTTCCATTTAAGATCTTTAAAAATGATCATAATGCAACAATAATTAATCTTCCGCCATTTCTTTTCTTACACAAAAATGTAATAATTAAAAAGATGCATTTTAATCAAATTACTCAGAGTCCGTAACAGTTTTTAGAAAATCTATGTCTGCTTGATTAACTAATTCAATTGACTATTGTCAATTTTTACTTCTTGCTCATGGTGTTTTTTTTTGTGTATTTTTTTTTGATCAATTCACTGAATCCTAATTGATGAAAGAATGTTTTCTTTTTTTTTTTTTCTTCATAACAAATAGAAACTGAAATTCAGTTTTTCATTGAAAATATCCAGAAAGAATATTTGCATATTGTTATTTATTCAGCCGAGTTGCAACTGGTTCCGGCTCCTTGATCGAGCTGTGCAAGACATCATGAGTGACCAGGTCTGATACCTTGATTAAGTTTCATAAGCAGACACCAAAATTTAGTTGAAAGAGAATTTTTCAAGTGAGGAGTACCATCTTTAATGGCATATTAGATCCCAATTCTCTTGTGACTTCAAAAATGGCTCCCTCCGAAGTAAACTTAAGTTATTACACAAATACTGGTGACTACTAGTAATGTACATATCTAAAATGTGAGTGTCACTGTGTACATCTCTAATCAAGACTTCACAGCATCCATATCACCAATAATCGATCTAGCACCCAGGCCACTTATTTAAGTTTTAAAGAAAGCAAATTTTGAATCAATGAACTTCTTGTCTTTAAATTTCCAGTTCCAAATATACACTCATTTTAATCGCCCTGGCACACTTTCATTTGAAAGGGGTGCTTACTTTAAATTCCTTGGGGAATTATTTTTCAGTTGAGTTAGCTTGGACATTCATAAGTTTATCACGCCAACCATCATGATCTTGCATCAAAGTTAGAAAGTCATTAGGGTGGCAGTCTGCGACATAACAGTCAGTGTAGGTGATTACTGGGCAAGCAACCCATCTTTTGCCATGGCTAGGTGTTCAGAGGAGTAGATCACTCAAAATGTTCTTGTTTTGCTCCATGTTTGTGCAAGATTGTAGAAATGTCAGGGATGGGTCCACGGAACCATGATTTAGTTGGATGTTGCCTCCAAGAGATGTTATGTATAGCTTTCAGCATCCTAGTGTAGGTTCCATAAAGCTTTTAGTTAATATCCAAGCAGTGGCACCATATGTTAAAACTGACTATACGGACCACAAACAGATGATCTCAAACAGAGATACCTTGGGGAAAGGAGGGCACTTATTCAAGATGAAGAACCAAATTGAGCATTAATGGTATCTGCTTATTTCATGGATACTTAGACATGGTGTAATGGTTTACAAGCTTGTCTCACTAGATCAATTATGATAGGTTGATCTTTGCTGGGTGCTCCATACATTTGGCCTTGTGCTATGCTTTGAAAATCACCATTGGACACTTCGATGTGGTGCAATTGTTAGCAAGCTTATCCTGCTAGATCAAATATAACTGAGTAATGAGTTTGATTCTTACTAGGTGCTACAACTTCCAGCTTTGTGCCACTTCTTCAGAGTACAATGGATAAATTATCATCTAAATTACACAAACATTGAAAAAAACACTGACATTTCATTTTATATATTGACCAAAATTACACAAAAATATCTTCAAATACTAAAGAGTAAATTTATTCAATAAAAAAATCACCACTGGCTTCAGCCACAACCTCCAGATGACTTGGGAATCTCCTTCGACTCTTCTGGATGGTCACCTTGTTTAAGTTGGTGAATGCTGCCATAATCCTTGCCTTCAGTTCATCTTTGATGTTATGTCAATTGTGCTTCACACATAATAATCAAGGCGGTTGCAGTCTGGGGAGTTAGGCGGCCAGATGTAAGGGGTCATGCAAAAATTGTCTGACAGCCATGACTAGGTTCTCCTACTTGTGTGACATGGTGCAGAGTCCTGTCCAGACATAGGGTCTTCTAGCAGTCACTCTCTTGAGCCACAGTATCAATACCTTCTCGAGACACTTGATGTAGCTCTTTGTGTTGAGTCTGAGGCCCTCACCAACAAATTTGAAAGTTTTTTATCAGAACAATCAGAGTGAGTTTTCTGAGTTGCCGTACCTTCATAATAACCATTAGACTCATCCAACTCTTTCTGAATTCTCTGCACTGTTCCCAGATTGACACCCAAACACTCTGAAATGTTCATATTGGCACTTCCAGCATGAATACCAAGCAGTACAACATGCCATTTCCAAATCTCTGACAGAGTGAATTGCACCATGGTGCTCTTTTCCTCGTTGACGGCGCCCAACTGACCCTACTATACTGTGCAGTCAACAAAATCCAAAACAAACAATGCACACGTGCAAAATTAAAAATATAAAATCGCAACAATTTACCCACTGCACCCTGTTTACTTCACTCAGTAAATCACTTTAAACATTATTTTCATAGTCACTTTGGTGTGGTGTAATGACTTCACAGCATTAACGAGCTTTTCATGAGTACCTTTTTTGAGTAGTCATCCCCATTTGAAAGAGTTAAATTAATGTTTACCAACTGAGATTGAAGGTCTTGTTAAAATAGCCCAATGAACAGCAATCAAACTACCTGTATTCCCAATTTTTTTCTACTCTAAGGACCTTCATAGTAAGATACACTTAGCTAAGTGGCAGGGTTGAGGGGAGAAAAAAGAGGATGCAAATCTGATTCTTGCCTTAAGCTACTTTTTTTTTTTTTTTTTTTTTAAAGACTTTTCATATTATAGGCCAGGAGACATTAATTTCACTATTCACTAGGCAGTTAGGTTACTTTGTAGCTTTTATTCAAACTCTGTATTTGAAGTGAAGTGAAACCTGGGGCTTTATACAAATTCTCCATGATATTTCAGCGTATAAAGATCCAATTTGCCACGACATATCTACACAAGAACTGTTCATTTTCTGATATAACTATTCACTTCTTCCCTGGAATTTCTTCAACTATCAGGCTGCTTTCTGTCACATGCAAACAACATGAGCCATATGCAAGTCAAAAAGATGAACAGGCCATTCATTATCTATACATGTAGGTTAGTCATTAAGTTCATAGCCTTGTGATGAAAGACAAAAAACAAAAACATTTATCAAACTTTCCTTATTAATATTCTTAGCCTAATACTTCTTCGTTAATCACAAACTTGACACTGTAGGATTTGGAGAATTTCAAATTCAGCTAAAAACTGAATCAGGCTTTGAACTTATTGATATTCCTCTCACACATGCAAATGACTTGTTCATTTTATCTACATATTTCAATTAAATTTTGGTAAATCCAAGGGAATTTCTCAGTAAAAGCAATTCTTTATTTTCTTTGAATAGCTACTTGAGGGACATAATAAAAATTAAGAAAAAAGCATGTAGGAACCCAGTAAAGAGGGGCAGAATTGATGGATGTAGGGGAGGAAAGACATGGGCAGGTTACATGGCAGGGAAGGCCCGAAAAGACATGGGCAGGTTACATGGCAGGGAAGGCCGAAAAAAGACATGGGCAGGTTACATGGCAGGGAAGGCCTGAAAAGACATGGGCAGGTTACATGGCAGGGAAGGCCGAAAAAGACATGGGCAGGTTACATGGCAGGGAAGGCCCAAAAAGACATGGGCAGGTTACATGGCAGGGAAGGCCCGGAAAAGACATGGGCAGGTTACATGGCAGGGGAAGGCCCAAAAGACATGGGCAGGTTACATGGCAGGGAAGGCCGAAAAGACATGGGCAGGTTACATGGCAGGGAAGGCCCGAAAAAGACATGGGCAGGTTACATGGCAGGGAAGGCCGAAAAGACATGGGCAGGTTACATGGCAGGGAAGGCCCGAAAAAGACATGGGCAGGGAAGGCCCAAAAGACATGGGCAGGTTATATGGAATAGAAGGGCCAGGTTAGACATGGCAGGAAGGCCCGAAAAGACATGGGCAGGTTACATGGCAGGGAAGGCCCGAAAAGACATGGGCAGGTTACATGGCAGGGAAGGCCCGAAAAGACATGGGCAGGTTACATGGCAGGGAAGGCCCGAAAAGACATGGGCAGGTCACATGGCAGGGAATCCCGAAAAGACATGGGCAGGTCACATGGCAGGGAAGGCCCGAAAAGATGTGGCAGAGTTTACATGGTGAGAGAGGCCTGAAAAGATGAGAGGTGGTCACATAGCAGGAGTGGCCTGAAAAGCCAGAGGGGAGGTTACTGTATGCTATTAACATAAAATATTTAATGATACAATGGGAGAATTTCCATGGATATTCTGTAGTCATAGAATTTGTGAGAAGCTTATTAAGTCATCAAACCATATATAATAATTATCTATGTGTATTTGTTTATATATTTCCTGTCCCATCTGTAGTGCAAAGGGAGGTAAATCAACTTAAGTTAGTAAATTTATGAGCACTTATTTCCCTTAGTCATTTTAGTAATCTATACAAATAAGATATTTATCTGTATTTAGACAAAATTAGTTCCTGAGCAAAATAAACAGTTTGATTAATCAGTTCACATACTTCTATATTTCTTAGATTACAGGCTTATTTGTTTGAGACATTTATAGGAGGCACTCATATCTTTAAGTGATCATCTTGCTTCAACTTGGTTGTGAGGTAGGCTTTGTCATTGCTGTCTTTGTTGTTGTGCTGCTAATCTTTCTTCCAAGATATATTTCCATTTCACTATTATATTAAAACACACAAAATTTTTAATATGAAAAGATATTGAGCAAAAAGCGATTCATATAATACCAGGAGTAATCAATGAATCATAAATACCATTGAATGTCTAAAACATATAAAGGGAACAGATTACTTGAATGGTTCATTAGCCTCTATTTTTAGCTGTGAATTCTTTATGGACTCTAAATACGTTGTTTCAAAATTTGTGTTTCATTGCATCTCACTGTTAAAAAACTTTCTAACAGCTGCTGTCATTTTTGACAGCATGGATAGACTAGTTAACTTATCAGAAAATTAATACAAAAAACCATGACAGGTATTGCTATTTTTTATTTTTTTTTTATTTTAATAAATTCACCCCAAATAAAGCAATAATACCACTAAGATGCAAGGGACTACCAAAAGTGAAAGTGGAAACTTTAGAAGAAACTGGTATCTCAATCCTAAACAGGAAACAAGAGATAAAACTCAACTCCTGTTCAAAAAACTGGGGAGGAGTGTGAACAGGACAATAGGCTAACTTATCTACTCCTATAAAAGGAAAATATTTTTTTTTTAAATAGTAAATAAAATTTCAGAGTTTATGCAGGGACGTTAAAAGTATAAAGCTGAAGAAGACTTGAGAAGGAACAGGAAACCCAATCCTAAACAGGAAACAAGGTATAAAACTCAACTCCTCTTCAAAAGACTGGAAAGGAGTGTGAACTGGACAAAATCATATATAGTATTAAGAGAGAGGATACAATTAAAAGCAGTTGACCTCCATTCTAAGAGAAGTATAAAGATTACATTGATCATCAATGCATTCAAATGAGATAACACGTTTTATAAGAATTAAGTGAAAACAGCAAAATCTCGTTTCCCACAATTTCTCCTTTTTTTTTTTCTCTCCCCACCTCTCCTCTAAAATTGAAAAATAAAATAAAATTATCAATCAAAAAGATTGCTGATCATCCAATACTCAATTTGATCAGGAATCTTTATAATCACCAAGAAATAAAATCAAATGCTAATGAATGATTGGCCAGTCATATTCTCAGCTCTTTGACTCACCAACCATTAGAGAGAAAAAAAAAATGGGTTTTTTTATGAGGTGAATATCATTTGGCCTCCATCTTTTAATCAAAAAGTTTAATTTTCTTCTGGTGAATCTAATACAGATACACAGTTGACTAGAGCCCTGGATGTAGCGGAACTTTAGAGTAAGAGGGAAGGAAAGGAGATTTGAATAAATTACATTTATAATCCTAGCACTTCTGAGATTCCTCAACTAATTTCCAACCCCCCACCAACTTATAATCAAGCTTTATTTTATCATTCATTATTCTGATTTCAGCTGCTGTTTTCACTATTTGTTGAATATGTGCCACGCATGTCCCAAAAGATGAAAGACAAAGAAAACAAAATGGATTCAATTTGCTTAATGTGAACTTAAATAGTCAACTAACTTGAGCTGGCATCTCAACTTCAGTCTCTTTCCTAACACCATGATGTGGCTTCTGTATGTCTTTTCTATAAATATGTTCATGGCAATTGATTTAATGAGCTTTCCTTTTTGGTACCTTAACTACATGAATTTAAGCATTCTACTAGATTGGCAAATAGATTTCATTGTTTTATTGTTGAAATAGATATAACCATAAGTTCTATTCTAATAGAGTTTTTTTTTTCTCTTGCATTTCCCTTCTCTGGAATTCTCTTCTAGTTTCATGCTTCCCTGTCACCTATGATCTTCAAAAATTTAAATGCAATGTCAATTGCCATCTTCCATTTCCTTGTATACTGTTCTTTTATTGTCCATTCCCACTATTGTGGTCTCATTTTCTTTCATTCTCAGTAATCCCTTGCCTTGCATCTTAGTGGCATTATTACCTTGCTTGGAATGAAATGATTATAAAAACAAAAAAACAAAAACAACTAATGAAATACTTGCATACACAACCAGGATTCATGTTCTGTGAAGACATTGACTGTATTTTCTGTTTTTGATTCTAAGCAGGTGTTCACCGTTATTTCCGTGGATGAAAGACATCTTCAAAGGTCCATTTCGAATGTATGAGGATATAAGGATTGTGTATCAGTTGGCAATTTTGAAAGAGAAATCAGTGACCAGTGTACAAATTCTGGCAGAGTTCATAACATCCACTCTGTCTCTCTCACACCCACAAAATACTGCTAATTCCATGTTTTCTCCATGTTTTTTTATGAGCTCTCTATGTACACACAAGTATATTTTCTCTACTCTTGTACCATGATGTTCTGTGTATAAATGTATTTCCATATAAAATCCTCTGCATGTACAATTCTTTTATTATTCAAAGTTCTCAACCCCTTCCTGTCACAATTGGCAATTGCCTGTTGCACTAGCATAGTGATGGAGCATATAAAACATGTAAGTATTTAACATCTATCAATGTAATAAGAAAATCAAGAAAAATATGAAGTAAATTATTCTCATGAGATATTTAACTAAATTCAACAGCCTTGATATAATGTCACTTGAAATAAGTAAAAATGCAGTCCTTTTTCCAACATATAAATATTAACATTGCAAGATGCAGATTTAAACAAAAAACTTGAAAGTAATTAATGCAGAACCCTAAAAAAATGCAAGCCCATAGTTTTTGCTATGAGGTTAATATGAGACTGTTTGGATACAGCGAATCTTTTGGGGAAGCATGAAAATTAAAACAATGTACATTTTGACATATGTATTTATTGTCAATTAGACTACGACATTTCGGTATATGTACTTTATAAATTGTGCACATGCTTTTTGCTTGTTTGCATTTAAAGACTTGTTTTCAGGAAAATAAAGAATGTCAAGATAAAAATCATTTTTTCTCATAAATAGCAAAACAGCTGCAATAGAAAAAAAATTTTGTAGAAAAACTAATTTTAGCTTAACTGAATCATCAACTAAATTTTAAAATTTATTAAATGTTAATGACAGACACATTTTAATAGGCAGACAAAGACCACAGTAAACGTAAAAACAATTTTCATTGTCTGAATTCCAAAGTAATCAAATTAATAAAAATTTAAGCCAAAATTTTGCAAATTCGACTGAAGGAGGTGGGGGAAGTCAACCAGAAAGTGATCACTTATCTTTGTGTCACTCAGGAGAGGGGGGTGTAGAGGCTGAAAACGCCCAATGATACCAGTTGACAATTCTCATATGCATAAAATAATGATTTCGCAAAGTTAAAATTATTTTTGAAAGCAGTTTCTATGGCTTAGTATTTAGTTAATAATAATAATACTAAAAATTTTAAACTGAAAATAAAGAAAAAAGCAACAAACTTTTTTTTTGTCACTAGCAAATGAAATTATTATACAAAACATTTACTTACCTAGAAACATGATAGACAAGAAGAGGAAACTGCTTCCAACAGCATGTAGGGCTGCAAGTACAATCCCTGTAACTACACAGCACACACCCAACATGGACAACAGAATCAGTACATATTTAAAAGACGTGACCGTCGTTAAACATTTGAGACATGGAGCTTTGCAATTTTGGTCCGAGTGTCGTGACACACTTGGTCGACTACGTGGGCGTCCGGTTTGTCGGGAAGACGATTGATTGGTAGTGCTACGCTGTTGCTGGGTATTGCTCCGGTCACCACTGCGTGTTGTCCGTGTTGGTCGGTCACTGCGGTTACGATGCTGGTTTGGTCGGTTAAGGGCCGCCGGTCGGGACACCATGTGTGAATTCAGAATATCTGGAAGGATTTCGTTGGAATTGGCAGAGTCCGGGCTGTAGATTCCAGGGTGTAAATCCTGTGTCCTGATCGGTTGTGCCCTTCCCAGCATCGGTTCCTCACTTGAATTTCTGTTGGAAGTTACAAGATCCACGTCACTTCCTCCTTGCATTGGGAAAGGAGGCGGGCGTCCACCATCAAGCAATCTGACGTTATTTTCGTCGATACTCCGGCTGGATTGATGATTGGGAAAGTTGTGCTGGTTGGGAGAAGAGCCAGCTGATGGAGAATGGCCCACTGTTGGACCTCCGCTACCAGAGGTGATTCCAGACAGTTGAAGTCCTCCAAAAGGGGGGCTGATCGGCGGGAAGTTTGGGGTTGCAGCCGCCGCCGTCGACTGCGACCCGTTGCGAATAACAGCCGTGCTGGTTGTGTTTGAGGCTGTGCTGGCTTCGCGATAAGGAGGGAAAACTGAAAGCCCACCTTGCCCAGTAATGACATCGGAGGTGGGCTGCCTCGAACCATCAGTCCGAGACGAGTTCCGGGATACCCGGTGACGTCCAGCCACCAATGATTGGACACTGGTCTCTCCAGACACAATGTCTGGATAGGAGTGCAAAGGATGCGTAACTGGACCGGAGGAAGAACTGTTAAAGTGGTTTTTCTTTGGTTTTGCTTGGAGCTGATTGGTGACAGAGCCTGTCACCAGAGCACCTGCCATTACTACCAGCCATAGGGCAAGTCAGTTTGAACAGAATCGCAGAAAAAGTAGAGAATGTGTTGCTTGGTATTGCGGATGGAGTTGGACGTTTGTATAGAGATGATCCTTTTTGCAATCTCACTTTCAAGAACTTTATATATTTCTTTACACACTTGTGTTAAAAAGCTTGACTAGAGAAATAGGTTTTGTTTAGTTGGATTTTTTAAAATGTTCCAGCAGTTGGTCTCCTGATCTGTCTGTTCAAACCCTGACAAAAAGAAGAATAAGAACACTCATTACTTTCAAATTAAGTCAAATCTGCAATTCTTAGAGACAAATATAAGAAATTATTTTTTGAAACTGGTATATACATATTTTATTAACATGAAGTTTATAAACATTACAAAGCTCCAGTTACTGCAAAAAAAAAAAAAAACATGAAAAGAAGCTCAGTTTTTTTTTTGGGGGGGGGGGTAGGCAAATTTACTTTAAAGTAAATTTTTCACATTCCACACCACATCAAACAAAAGGTTTGGACAGAAACCCTCATCAATACTAGAAAAAGTAATAAAAGTTACTGGACTAATTTCAACTGACAATAGCACTGGCTGCTTGGTCATTGAATATAGGATGTTTCCTTATAAGGAAACAGATAATATTACCATTCAGTCAGTTATGTGCCATGCATGATACATGCTTAGGTGATCATGTATCTTTTGATACATGATTGATGAGGCAGATTATTTTCCCACAGTAGGTTGCCATTTTTTTTTTTTTGTGGTAGACCAGTTGTCATCCAAGGCTATAGAACCCGTTCTGTCCTGCTATTCACCCATAGCTGGGGAGACGAAGAGGATTCATACCTTTCCCAAGGGTATTAGCATGTAAGTGAACATAATGGATTCAAATGGAATTCAGATCTTTCGTCTTTTAATTCATTCTCAACTCATAAAAACCAAGAATTATAGTGAGCTTTTATTTTTAAAAAGGAATGATATCACTTGAGAACAACAAGAGCAACAACTGAAATGGATAGCACATGTAACTTGCAAGAGAAAACGTCATAATCAACATGTTGACTTTTCACACTACATAGGTTAAGAAGGTAACCCTAATCAATAGGTAGAAAGAGTGATAAAAGCTACTGGATGTGAGAAAACTATTTTCCAGAAAAAATGTTTTAGGAGAAAGATTTCGTAAATTTCAACCAACAATAGCATTGGCTGCTCAGTCAATGAAGGCTAAATGTTTCCTAATAACAAATTCGTAGAATTTATTCTTAACTCATATACAAAAAAACAAGAATTAGTGATCTTTTAACTTTTTTTTTATGGAGGAATAGCTACCATTCTGTAAACAGAACCTAAAATTTTGAAAATATCTGTCAATGTTCTAATGTAACATTAGAAGGAATGCAAATAGAATGCTTGTATAATATTGATTCAAATTCAAGTCCAAATGTATTTTTTAAAAGCTACTCACACATGGTACAATCTACTGTACTTACATGTATGCGCACATTCCATTTTACAGATATATATCATTACTATTTTAGTAAAATCAAAAATGACAAAATAATGCATATAATGTCACCTGAAGATACCCTGTCAATGAAAGACTTTATAACTTTCAAGACTTGACATCCTATTCACCTATGGAGAATAATTAAAATTTATAACTCATTTGGACTATATTTCAAACAAATATGACAAATACTTAATTTGCTTAGCTAGAATAACCTTATATATATATATATATATATATATATATATATATATATATATATATATCAATAATATCAACTATGAATGTGGACACAATATCTTAACTATGTTGTGAAAATGAAAACAAATACATACAATATTTTTTGTTAACAGTTAATATATCTAAAGTTATAGCCAAAAGTGCTCAGAAAGAAAGAACAATTGAACAGTTTTTAAATAATTTATCCTCTGAAAAGAAAAAGAATCTTAAGATAACATGCACAATTGTATAAAAACTAAATCAAAGCACCTTTATTGTCATATTCAATGAAATGTACATGAAAGGATTGCTGCTTAAATACACACACATATATATATATATATATATATATATGTAAAAATTTTAGATAGAGTGTACCTGTATAGTTGTCTTTATTCATATATATATATATATCTAAAGAATTAGTGAATTTATTTTTAATCCAACATTTTTATGACTTCAAGCTTGATATCAAACTGTGCAGTCGGGTTCCCTCCAGAGCTGGTCTTGTTCACTATATAAAAGCACAATTGCCAGGAATTAACCAGTGAGATTGTCAGGAATTAACCAAGAGCTAAACCTAATATACCCTGTGTGTGCATACAGTGTGAAATCATATGCTGGCTTCATAGTCATATGGCAGAAACAGTCCACCCAAGGATAACACCAAACCTGTACGTCAAAATTACTTATTTGTTGCTAAAAAATATACGACTGGGAATCCATTTGAGAGCTCATGAAAGAGTCAAATAATGGTTAATTTAAGAAAGTGGTCATGTTCAAAAGATGAATAGATAGCTATTTAGTGTGTGTGTGTGTGTGTGAGTGAGTGAGTGAGTGAGAGAGCTGAAGATTGTGTTTAAACATGAAACAGGCTGTTGTCACTAGACATTTCACTTCAATGTTGACTTTCATATTTACATGTGCTCTATCCCTGATATTGAACACTAACCCATAAATATAGCATGACTTTATATATATATATATATATATATATATATATATATATGTAAGCAAATATATGGATATAAATCGACAGTATGAAGAAAAATATATACGGAAAAAACAAACAAAAATGTGTGTGTGTGTGTGTGTGTGTGTGAGTGAGTGAGAGAGAGAGACCTGAAGCATGAAAAAGGCTGTTGTCACTAGACATTTCACTTCAATGTTGACTTTCATATTTACACGTGCTCTATCCCTGATATTGAACACTAACCCATAAATATAGCATGACTTATATATATATATATATATATATATATGTGTGTGTGTGTATGTGTGTATGAATTGGATCAAATTTAAATTTGGTCCTTTAAACTTGCTCATAATACACATGAACAAAACTAGCTATAACTTTGTTTTTATAAATACCACGCTAATTTTTGTAAGCACAGCATGCAGGTTCCTGTTAAACACTGGCAAAAATCCTATATACCCCCCACCAAATCAAAAAAAAAAAAAAAAAAAAAAAAGAAAAAAAGAAAACAAAAATCAGGAAAAACTTCAATAAAAAGCATTAAAACCAAAAAAAAAAAAAGAAAAAAAAAGAAAATCAGTATAAAAAAGACAACAGTAAAAAAAAAAAAAAAAAAAAAAACGCTGTAAAAAAACTAACAGTAAAAAAAAGAAACAAAACAAAGCAAAAAAAAAAAAAAAAAAAAAAAAAAATTTTTAGTGGGAGACTTGCTCTATTGAATGGCATTTCCTGTACCTTATCCAGTTTCCATGAAAATAAATATGATGCAAATTTTTTCAAGCAATGTGTGTGTGCGTGTCCACACTTACTTTTCTAAAACAGTCAATCTTTTCCCAAAGACATGAAAGCACCTGCTGATCTGCGGATGTTATTTCTGTGAATCTGAGATGCAGACCATATTATGGCCAACAGCCTTCTCCTTGGTTGAGATTCTCAAAGATAATCCCACTAATGTGGGAAGTAAGTACACAAGAAACTTATGTACATCCTTGAACCAGATAAGATCTTCTTGCTTGAAACTTGGCATGGCTACATCAGGAAATGCTTTTCAACTTGTAACTACTTGTAATGGCTAAGATGGTACTATGAGCTGGCAAACATTTAATTACAGCCTAAACTGGGTCAAAGAACCATACAGAGAAAAAAATCAGAAAGAAGAGTTGGGGAGAGGGATAATTATTCTTGCCCTTAGAAAAATCCTTGACAGTTTCCCTATTAAATTGCTGTATTTACCTGAGTGCTTTTGTTTTTCTTGGATTATCTCAAATTCTAAGATTTGACTTAGGAACATCCTTGCTTGATGTCTTTAGTTTTAAGAAAAAAATGACTGCTGAATTCAGAGGATAAAATTTTGAATTTGGGATGGACAAAGTATGGATCAGATTAGAGTGGAGAACAAGAGAGGCCAGTGTTCAAACCTCAGTGAAAGTCAGGATTTTGTATTAGGATTTGTATATCTTTTTGTTTCAGTCTGGCCTTGTGCTGTAAATATTATTGTATTTCTATCAAGATTTATTATGGAATTTTCATGAAGCCAACTCTCTTTCTCATATATATTTGTAGTTTTTGAAAGCAGACAAAGAAAAGAAATTAACCCTGGTAACACTAGAAATACAGTGAATAAATATTTTGGGCAGGGTCTATGCCAAGCAATGCCGACATCAATGACAATAGTAATGACAAAAGACATGTAAAATCTAGAATAAAATGTAGCTGCAAATCAATAGCTTCATCTACTGCAAGGAAAGTTGGTCTGTGTCATGCCAGAAAGTTCTTTTCTCACCGAAGTTCATCCTTCAAATCTAAAAGTCAACTATTTGTCCTTGCATGGAATATTGCTGTCATATATGGTCTGGTGTCCCTGCTGTTCATCTCAAGGTTATCGACAAAATCCAGAGATGGATATGCAATGTAATGGGTCCTGATCTGACATCTCATCTACAGTCACTTTCTCACAGACATGCTGTGGCTTCCCTCTGTCTTTTCTACAAGTATTTTCATGGCAACTGCTCCAACAAGGTACTTTTTCTGGTTCTCAAACTGCATGAAGTTAAATGTGCTACTAGGTTGGCATCTCAGTCCAACCCTTTCAATGTTGAAGCAGTTAAATATAGCTGTCTCTTCTACTCCAACAGCTTCTTATCTCACACTTCCCATCTGTGGAACTCGCTTCCTCTTACTGGTTTCCATGATAACTATAATCTTCAAATATTCAAATGTAATGTCAATCGACATCTTCTGATGCCTTGATTTTGTTCCCCATCCTTCTCTTTATCCTTTTCTCAAACATGCCTCTTTACTCTTGCTCTCACTCTCTGTAACCCCTTGCATGTTAGTGGCACTACAGCCTTGCTATTGATATGGAACTAAGGACACATGGCCCAGTGGATGAAAGTGTTGGTTGAAGTAATTCAGTGAATTGACCCAAAGAGTTGTGAGTTCAATACCTGGCCACAGAAGTGAACAAAAGATGATACAGTAATTGTGATTTCAATCTCTGAACCAGGCAGTGTGTATTTAGACTCTGTGGAAATGGGTGAACACTGCTAAAAATAAAAACTGGACAAGATATTCCAAAACATGGACAGTGGAATGAGAAGAGTCTACCCCCAAATATTAAATAAACGGTTCAGTTCAGAATTCTCTGTAGGTTACCCAGATCAATATACACCTGATGAAGGCCAGAGGGTACAATGGCTGAAACATTGTGATAACCATAACAAGGATGAGGATAAAAGTCTGCATGTAAATAATCAAATTTTCTTAAAATAAAAACTAAAATAAAATCATTTTCTTGAAAATGAATAATTATAGGTGAAAATTTTTACACATTTGGAATCAAAAGCCATCATCTTGGATGAGAATCAAAGAAAATTATTCAATAAAATTTAAAAATTGTCTGTGGTCTTAACACTCTGCATCATTTATAAATATTACTTCCCCTTTTACTGTATATGGAATCTCCTCAAGATATAGTCTCTTAAATATTAGTTCTATATAAATGAAATTGCAGTAGCCTATTTCAGTCAAGATTGTTTTAGGTGTTGCCATAGAAGGATATGACTACACAACTCAATAATTCAAATTGCATTGACAGGACTAATATTTTACTTGGTGAACATACTGAATGTGCAAATATACAAGCCTACATACAGTCTGAATATTAAGGTTACCATTGTGGGAAGTGAAATTGGTAAGCATCTTTATTCTAACTGAGGAATTAAGTATTTTTGATCATTTAAAATTTGGTCTCTGCAGAAAAAAAAAACTTTTGGAAATGTTAAAAAGTAAGAAATTTTTTTTCCTTTTTTAGCTAGGATTTCTGATTGGCTGATTGGGATGTTAGAGTTATATGACTTTTAAGATGTGATGGTAAAAGAGATCCAAATCAATTAAATTCTAAAGTAACATCAAAGAAAGTGGACAGAGGTGCAGTAGACAAACTTTTTGGCTCATGCAGAACATGATTGATTGAGAAAATAACTTTGATATTGATTTTGGGACAGTTAATACAGTTTTGGCTTGGGAGACTAAGAGACCTTGTCAAAAAGCTGCTCCACAACCCCACTTACTGAATAAAAGAGTATTTAACCAAAAGAACTGTAAAGGAATATATAATTTTTAAGAACAGTTTTCAACCAAGCTGAAATTAACAAGCCCAATGATTACTTTTGAGTGAAGCTTCAGTATCCCAATTCTGTGTCTAGCTACTTTATTTACCTTTTGCTGCTGTTGTGTGTGTGTGCATATATATATATTTATTATTTTTAAAAAAAATATGATTCCTTCGCTACATAAGAATTTTCATGTTTCAAAAACGAGAGCCAAAAACCTCAATCATTAAAACTATATATATATATATATATATATATATATATATATGAAGAAATATAGTCTTAAGGTGTGCTATATTTATGGGATAAAGTGCTCGATATCAGAGATAGAGCGTGTGTAAATATAAAAGTGAACATAGAAGTCAACAGAGGTGACAGTCTGTGACAGTCTATTGCAATCGTCTGACGATTGCATATAGCATGAAACAGACTGTCGCCTCTAAGTGTTGACTTTATGTTCACACACACACATATATATATATATATATATATATAAAAGGAGACTTCATGTTGTTATCGCAATGGATTGAGGTAAATCCCAGCATGTGGCACACTTGGAAAGTGCCTGAAAACAATACCACGAGTTGACCCAAGACTTGTGAGTGAAATTGGATTGACGAAACTCAAGGGCCGTTGATAGCTGTGCTAGCATAAAGCTACAAGTCATCATGGCTGAGGGCTTGAACGTGCTGGCCTTGTTCAAATTGTTAACCATGCTAGATAACATGCTCTCTCTCACAGAAACTCTAACTAAGGTCTGTTCAGCATAGTTGCAGTATAAACCACAGGTGGGCTCTGTGGGTGCTGAGCAAACACAAATGTGCCCGAGCGAGTGTCTGCAATAGGGATTGGCTAGCTACCCTAGTAGATGGGTATCCTCAAATATGAGTGTCCAGCTATTATATAAATCTTTGTGCAATGCACTACCTGGGTTCCAACTTTATGACGTCATCAGGGCCTGCTTAAATAAACTATGAAAGCACCAGAAATCACATATATCAGAAGGGGAGGGGCAAGGGGGAGGTTGGAGCCCCCCTCCACAAAAAAAATTTTTGTTCATCCAGGCTCGTACTTAGTATTATATAATTTTACTGTTAAAAATAATTACTTAGATGCTTAAGATGCAGCTCTTCAGCCAATGGAGCAGACTCCCAAGAGGGTGCTTCCCTGATCAATGCAATCTGTTCAAGTCTAGGGTCAGCCACTTCCTATCCTACATATTCTCATAATATGTACCTCTTGCTCCCTCCCTCTATGCCCTTACAACATCCTCATTTTGTAACTCTCTATCATGAATGGCTTTTGAGTATTGAGCAATAAAAAAAAAAAAAAAAAAAAGAGAAAGAAAATCGAGTAAACAGAGTTATTATACAGTTTTTTATGACAAAGTACAACAAACTTGACGATGCTTCAACCAATTTCACCAAGACTTCTTCAGGTTGGAAAGAGGCCAGGTCAACAAGCAGGGCTGACATGACATAACAGGATACCAGTACTTGTATGCAGCCTCCATAATCCACATTTACAAAATGTAATTAACATATCTTATAGAGTGCACAGATACTACACTGTTCCTAGGCAGACGGAAAGTGAGCGATAACTTAAGCCAAGGCAGAATTACCAATCCCTCTTAAGAAGCCCATCATTTTTAACATGTACAATGCTCGGATTGTATCTATTTAAATAGAATCTTGTTCTGCTAGACTGTAGCTACATTATTCAGTGTAAAAGTGTAATATACCATCAAATGTAGGAATTGATAAACAATTTTTGAATTGTGAACTTGTATGAAAAGTTGCTTTAAAGCAATTTATGGAGTTGTAAGGAAACAGTAACAATTTTGAGACTATTCCTGAAACTTTTGGAGAATATTTTTGTGTGACAAGAAAATTATTTACTTGAAGTAAATGTGAAAGTTCAGAATGTCCAAACAGGAAGCTGACATGCTTATATTCCCTTTTGTGGAATGAGTCAGTATTTAAGAGGGGGAAATTACAACAGGCAAAAAGCAAACACTTAGGTATAAAGCACTGGAGAGAAAAGAGAAATGGAGAGAGAAAAGAGAAAAGGAGAGAGAAAAGAAAAGAGAAAAGGGAAAAAAGAAAAGGAAAGAGAAAAGGGAAAAAAGAAAAGGAAAGAGAAAAGGGAAAAAAGAAAAGGAAAGAGAAAAGGGAAAAAAGAAAAGGAAAGAGAAAAGGGAAAAAAGAAAAGGAAAGAGAAAAGGGAAAAAGAAAAGGCAAAGAAAAGGAAAAGGAAAAAAAAGAAAAGGAAAGAGAAAAGGGAAAAAAGAAAAGGAAAGAGAAAAGGGAAAAAAGAAAAGGAAAGAAAAAGGGGAAAAAAAGAAAAGAAAAAAGGAAAAAAAGAAAAGAAAAAAGGAAAAAAAGAAAAGAAAAGTGCTCAATGTCCAGCAAAAAACGCTTCATACCGTCAACACTTAAAGGAGAGCCCAAGTTGTTTCATATGCTTGAAATCTTCAAACAACTAGAAGATCATGAACACTCAAGTAACAACCTGGGCTGTCCTTTGTTAGGAGCTGATACACACACACACACAAGGTTATGGTGATATCACTTGAAACACTGGTACTCATATGATCACCATTTAAGCAACACGAAGCTTGGTCACTACCTCGATAGGTAAGCAGCACGAAGCTTGGTCACTACTCGATAGGTAAGCGCCGCGGAAGCTTGGTCACTACCGATGGGTAAGCAGCACGAAGCTTGGTCACTACCGATAGGTAAGCGGCACGAAGCTTGGTCACTACCTCGATGGGTAAGCAGCCGCGAAGCGGTCACTACCTGATAGGTAAACCGTTAAGCTTGGTCACTACCTCGATAGGTAAGCGCACGGCTTGGTCACTACCCGCCGATAGGGTAAGCAGCCGAAGCTTGGTCACTACCTCGACAGGGTAAGCAACATCGGCTTGGTCACTACTACCGATAGGTAAGCGGCCGAAGCTTGGTCACTACCTCGATGGGTAAGCAGCGAAGCTTGGTCACTACCTCGATAGGTAAGCAACGAAGCTTGGTCAATTTTCTCGATGGGTAAGCAACGAAGCTTGGTCACTACCTCGATAGGTAAGCAGCACGAAGCTTGGTCACTACCTCGATAGGTAAGCAGCACGAAGCTTGGTCACTACCTCGATAGGTAAGCAACACGAAGCTTGGTCACTACCTCGATAGGTAAGCAACACGAAGCTTGGTCACTACCTCGATAGGTAAGCAACACGAAGCTTGGTCACTACCTCGATAGGTAAGCAACACGAAGCTTGGTCAGTACCTAGATAGGTAAGCAACACGAAGCTTGGTCAGTACCTAGATAGGTAAGCAACACGAAGCTTGGTCAGTACCTAGATAGGTAAGCAACACGAAGCTTGGTCAGTACCTAGATAGGTAAGCAACACGAAGCTTGGTCAGTACCTAGATAGGTAAGCAACACGAAGCTTGGTCAGTACCTAGATAGGTTAGATTGTGGGTCTTTCAGGAACTGGATGATAATTTCAGAGAACTGTTCTGTGTTTGCATGTGTCTGTGTTATACATTTCATGCTCTTTCATGCTCTCATAACTAGGGGTGTTGAGAAGAAATTAATGTTCTTGAAAGAGGCATAAAGCAGTTATAATTACACATCAATCTGTCTCAGTTGTAATTTGAAATTGAGCATCTGTCTCTATCCATATCTGTCAAGAACATGATGCTGTCAGAGAAAGTGAAGAACTGAACACAAAAGTGGATAACAGTTTTTATTTGAGTCAAATGATTTGTTAAAAAAATAAAATAAAACAAAATCAAACAACCTGTCTGTGTAAATTTGCAGATTTACAACAAAATCTCCTATTTCAAAGATTTGTTGTAATATTAGACTTCTTTCTTGACATACATTCTGGATTGAAGCCAACATAACAGTGCTTATTCATTTTTAGATTAAAACAGACACTTGTGTGTATATATATATATATATATATATATGTATGTAATGAGGCATGGTGGAGTAATGGATTGCAGCTTGAATTGAGGAATTGGAGAGCAGAGTTTGAATTCTAGTCGAATCCGTTACATTCACTTACATGCTAATACCCTTTGGAAAGGTACGAATCCTCTTCTCCCACCACTCTAGTTATGGGTAAATAGTAGGACAGACTGGGTTCTATGGCCTTGGATGGAAACTGGTCTAGGAGAAGGACAGTTCTGAATTCAAAACCTGAGGATGATCGGTTGTGGACCTTTGTGGTCTCTCTATCCGGTTCATCAAAAAGTGGGGTTGATTCTGCACAGAACCATCACCCCTATAATCAAATCATATGTGCTGGTGTCTGTCAGTTCCTAGGAACTAAGCTGCTTAACCCTCATACATTGAATATGATAGGAGAGTGCACAATATATGTATTTATGTGTACATGTATTTTATTTTTAACTGCCTTAAATTCTAATTCTACCAATCTAAAAATGCTAGAATTTAGTCAAATCCACCTTGCTTCACATCACAATTCTTGAAAATTTCTGTGACAGTCAAAAGTACTCGAATGTAAAAAAAAAATAAAATAAAACTTTAACAATTTTAAAACAATGTAAAACACCAGAGTTGTAAAGATAATATAAAAAGTTTACACCTTGTTGATGTTCTTATTTAACTTTATTATATATATATATATATATATATATATATAAATGAGCAGCTAACCGCACATAATTGGTAAGTATTGTTCAAATTCTGATTGAGAGTTTGCATTCACTTATGCCCTCATCAAAGTGCATTAATTTATCTCATCTCCCTACCAGCTATGAGTTAAATAGCAGGGCATTCTAGCCTTGGTTGGCAATCAGTCTTATAGCATACCTATGGACAACAATAGGTATGTTCCCATTCATATAAATACAGTAGTAAATACTGTATGTTGGTCTGCAGTTGGAGATTTATTGTGGAATTCACCTGCCTCACTTCTAGCAGCTGACAACTACTTCTATGTGCAGCTGACGAATCTTATATGTGTTGTTCGTGTCCTAAGTATTATCGTTCATTACCAATCTTCATTTGATTATTCTGTTCAGTAACCTTCCCTAGCTTACAACACAGTCTAAGAGAAAGAAAATACTGAATTCAAATTCAAAGCTATTGACAAGACAATGGGAAACCACTTCACCATCTTTTCCAAGAAGTCATTGTAATACACAGTTTACAGATATTAAGGAAAAAGGAACATGCAGGAAACCATGATCACGAACATTCTGAAGTGATACGGCACCTTTATAAAAATAAATGTGGACAGTTGGGGGGGGGGGGGAATAAAAACTGATTCACAAAATTTACCTGACCAGGAATTAAGACCCCAATTATAATAAAATAGTCAGGCAGACTGTTCATTAACCTTGGTATGGCAACCAATCTAGTAACATTTGAAACAAAAGGAAGCTGTGAAGAGCCACTTCTACGGAAATGATGAAGGGATATTTACAAAGTGGGGTTTAATGAAAAAAAAAAAAACAATTCATAAAATTATCCTGGTCAGGAGCTAACACTCAAGTTATTTTAAAATAGTAGGACAGACAAGGTACATTTACTTTGATAGGGCAACCCATCTAGGAGAAGAATAGCTGCAAAGATGGGGATGGGAAGTAAATTCAAACTTTCTCAAAAACACTTGAGAAAGATATGAGGAACCAAGCTACAGAGAGCCATGATTACCATGTTGCTTCTGGGTGTAGGTAATTTAGGAGGCGGATATGTACTTTAACAAAAAATATACAGTGGTCTCCACATAGAAAAGTAAAATCAATCTGCTACAATTGTAGAAATATGATGGGTCTTCACAACTCCAATTACCAATTACCTCACACATGCTTCACCTCTTCCCCTCAAACTTTGCCTGTATATTTTTTCTTTCTCTCTTTTCTGTAATGTTCAGGTTTTTGTCGAAAATCATGTTAAATTGATACAGACTAGTTTTATGTGAAAAAGAAATCTGGAACGTACAATCATTTTTTTTCACTACATCATCTTTTCTTTTGGTCAGCTTTTCCATCACCATCAATCCCATAACTGGGTGTGGTTGTAGGGCCGCCATGCAAATGAGCACCTGACCAGTTCCTTCCAGATGTCTTGGTTGTGTGCCAATATCTGAGACTGTGTGAATGATCTCCCAGTCCCCTCAGTAACATTCTCAGCTCATTTTTCCTCTACATTTTTTTTTTTGGCCTACGGGGTAGCTTGTAGGATGGCAGTGGAAAGACTTAGCTCTTAAAATGGGACCTTACCATTTTTACTTTCTCTCTTTGAATTGTCATGGGAGAACTGAATGCCAAAGTAAACAACGAGAGGGAGGGTGAAATAGTTGACAAATTCAGACTAGAAACTGGCAATGAACTTTGAGAAAAATTGGTCCATGGAAAATGATCAGGTAATAGCCAACATCTGGTTTCAAGAAAACCAAAGATGAATAGGGACATGGGGAAGTCCAGGAGGAGAGACGAAGAAAACAAATTGACTACATAACTATCAACAAGAGATTCAGGAATGCAGCAGTACACTGTAAACCCTATCCAAGTGCCGACTATTTAAGTGATCACTTCCCAGTTATATGTAGACTAAGTCAAATTGGAGAGGCCTAAGGCAGCACCCAAATTTCAAAATGACAGATTCTTCAATGACCCGAATCTAAAGGAGAAATATATGGACAGGGTGAAAATCAGATACAACGGACAAAAGGAAACGGTAACTCAAAGCGGGATACACGAAGAGAAGCCTTAGTGACATCAGCAAATGAGGTCATTCCAAAGGGAAATGAATGAAGAAAAAATGAATATGAAAAAAAAAATATATATATATATATATATATATATATATATATGCACGGTGGTGTAATGGATAGCAGCTTGGATTGAGGAATCGGAGAGTTGAGTTCGAATTCCAGTTGAACCCATTACATACACTTACATGCTAATACCCTTGGGAAAGGTGTGAATCCTCTTCTCCCTCCAGCTATGGGTAAATAGCAGGACAGACTGGGTTTTATAGCCTTGGATAGCAACCGGTCTAGGAGAAGGACAACTCTGAATTCAAAACCTGTGGAGGGTCGTTTGGGAATCTTGTGGCACGTAGTGCACCAGGTGTCTGTATTCGCCTCTTCAAAAAGTGTGGATGGTCCTGCATGAAACCTTCACCACTATAATCAAATATCATGTGCTGTTGTCGGGCTGTTGGTTTCCGAGGAACTGACCTGCTTGACCCTCATAAGTCGAATTCAATGGGAGATTTGTATATAAATTTTGAATGGATGTGTTATGGTCCAATATCCTCGCACTACAGTTATGGTCCAAGGTTAGAACCAAGGAAGAACAACACGAACACAAGAGTAGAATAACAAAGATATATTACAACAGAAATATAGTACAAGAAGATGAAGGTGTTAGTAATGACTGTCCATCTG